ATTTTACTTAACAACGGATGATTGTTTGTCTCCCCACACCTTCGCATGTGGCTTCCCCCCACCACCACCTATAATGCTAAATCCTAATAATTCTGAAAACGCCCATGGTCTTCCTAAGCGTCATCTCCCTCATTGCTGAAATCCACCCAACCTTTAGAAAGTGTATTTTACCCAGTTTAGTTAACTTCATAAAATAAAAATCCCACAACCCATTTTGCACGCTTTGAAAACTGAGAAAATGTGGATGTAACAGAGGAACTGGCACAGAATAGAAGTAAATTAGCACCCTTTATCACACACTCCACTGACTAAATTACTTGTCTGTCTCACTAGAGCGGGGTTCCTCAACCCCAACACTACTGACATTTTGGGCCAAAGAGTTCTTTGTTGCAGGGGGCTGTCCTGTGCCTTGCAGAACACTTAGCAGTATCTATAGCCTCTGTCAACTAGATACTGGTAGCACCCCTTTAGCTGTAATAACCAAAAATGTCTGCAAACATTATGAAATTTCCCCTGAGAGAGAAATCACACCTGGCAGGGAATCATTACTCTATACCATAAGCAACTCAAGGGCAGAAACTAATTATGACTCATTATTGTATCTCCAGGTATCTAGGACAAAAGCCAGCACACAGTAGGTGTTCAATAAGTGCATACAAGAACTACAATCCTGACTTCTAGTACCACAGAGTATTTTTAACTCTTTTCACAACGTATGTAAATGTCTATTTTACGGCTTCCTTCATTCAACATTACATTGTGAGATTTATCTATGTTGCAGTATGTTGTGGTAGTTCATTTCCACTTTTATATATGTTTTTTAATATATTATGCTTTCTTCAATGTTCTATTGTTTGGACAATTGGGTTATTTCCAATCTATAGTTGGTATGGGCAGTGTGATCATGAGTAATCTTTTATGTGTGTTTTGGTTACAAGTCAAGATGGTAGTTTTGTTGGAGGAGGAGAAAGGGGAGTGACTGGAACGGGACACCATAAGGGTTCTTGGGGTGCAGACATTCCTCTTGACCTGTATAGTGATTGCAGATGTGTGTCCACTTTGTGATAATTCACTGAACTCCCCATTTATCATCTTGAACATAGAATTTTTGTGATATTTCATTTAAAGTTGTTTTTTTTAAATCACTAAGAACGAGACAGTTGTGCAAATAGAGGGGGGGAAAAAAGCCAGAGATTCTGGTAAATACCGTACAATGCAAATATTCATGTGAAAAATAAAATTCCATCCAAGAAAATCACATTAAACAAAAAATGCATTTTGGTACTTTCTGTCAATAGCACCCATTGTTAGTGAGATGCAAGGGAAAAGGTCTATTAAGATGTGACGCACAAGTTTTCTAGAAGTCCATTTGACAAAATATAATCAAAAGTCTATAAAATATGTAATATGGTTACATGTCAATCTTATCTCAAAAAAGCTGGAAAATTGTATTATGTTTAAAGTTTATCTTATGCAAATAAATCAGATGAATGTATAAAACTACATATGTATGTGAGAGAGACTATATGAGGATATTCTTCATATAACTGCTTAGTGAAAAACTAAAGTTTTAATAGGTAATTAAATATATTAGGATATATCCACTCAGTATGATATATGCAGCTATATTTAATGACATTAACAAAATGTTCATAATCCAGTAAGTTAAAACAAGTCACGAAACAGAACAATGATACATTTGTGAGGGAAGAAAGACATAAACACACATAGAAACAAATGGTTGAGAATAGCAGCCAAAATGTTAACTTTTGTTATCTTTGGTTTTTTATTTTTGCTTTTGCCTTTTAAGGTCTATCTGCTTTCTAAGCTTTCTACAAGGAATATTTACAACAACGATTATAACAAAGGAATAAAGCTTTTTCATGGAAATGAGAAAAAAATGAGAAATCTCACCTAACAGAATCAGACTATGACAGCTCTTAGTGTCCATTAGTGTATGTATTTTTCATAATATGCTTCAAATGATTAGTGAATTGGTTTTCACAGGCACGTCTGATTTTATAAGCTCCACACTGTTTGCACCAAGAAGCCCACCTGAGCCAGTACTTCATAGGGCAAGTCTTCCTTCAGAAGAAGGATGCTGTTTTGCAACTGAAATATTACTCTAGTGATGAAAAAACAGATGAGCAAGTTTCATTTCTAGGAATTTTTGTAAAGCTACTGTTGCTTGAAGTATAACTTTCTTCTCTAGGATAGAGCAATAATCTCTTAAGAAAGTGAGTAGGGGGGCGCCTGGGTGGCTCAGTCAGTTAAGCATCTGCCTTCGGCTCGGGTCATGATCCCAGGGTCCTGGGATCGAGCCCCGCATCGGGCTCCTTGCTCAGCGGGGAGCCTGCTTCTCCCTCTCTGTCTGCGTGTCACTCCCCCCTGCTTGTGCTCTCTCACTCTCTCTGTCAAATAAATAAATCTTTAAAAAAAAAAAAAGAAAAAGAAAGTGAGTAGGATTTCAATTTCTAAGTCTTTGACAGATTTTCCAATTTCACTCTGCCTCCTCTCTTCTGAATAGAATACAAACAACAATGGAATATATGCAAAGTATGGGGGGAAAGCAAATAATTATTATGAAAAAACCACAGCCGTCCAAAGTCACATACTGAGAATTAAGAAATAATTTTCCACTTTCACTTTGATTCACAAGAGTCTCATTAATAAGCCCTTCCCACTTGTACCAGAGAAGTAGTGATTTCCTCTAGGTCAGTAAACAGCAACATTGATTGCATTCACTTAAGTAAGTATAACCAGAGCAAACTCGTTCTCACACATAAATTCACTCTTCAAGGCTGATTTACAGTCACCGCTCTCCTTTCTGAGAAAAGGGGTAACTTAGCCAAAAATGTGTGAAACCTTGCTTGGACGTATCTCCAAAGATGACCCTGTTGAAATGCTACGCGGTATTGCTGAGGTGGCTATCCATACCAGTTTGCCTGGGACAGCCCTGGTTTACACCAGTGTCCCTGCATAGTTATTAATAGCTGCCTCTTTGACTCGCCAACGTCCTAGAGCTGAGTGACACACGATCTAGCCAGCCTACTGTCCATACACAGGATGTATAATGCTCGGCTTAGAACTTGGAGTAACTGCTTGGAGCCATCTACACTCTAACCTCCTCTTCCTTGTGCACTGAAGGTGTGGAATGAAAAATGTACTGAATATTCACGGACTCAGACCCCGTAACACAACCCCCCCAACCAGGTGGTCTAATGCAATCCGAATAGAAATCCATTTCAAGGTAGACCTAGCCTTCCATGAAAGTTAAAAAAATTATGGGAGACAATTTACTAGATAGTCTCCAAATCACACAACTTAAAGACAAGCTACATATTTGCAAAAATTAGCCAGCCTGTTGATACATGTTGGGAGTTCTGTCTCTGTAATTATTAATCCAAACAATTCCATGAAATAGAAGTAGATCCGAATTTCCTCTGAGCCTATCTATTTCTACCTCTGTTAATGGCAAAACTATCCACCTTGAAACTTTAGGATCAAATTTGATTCTCTTTTCACTCTTTGTAATTAGTTACTAAGTCTCATTGATTCTTTTTTTTTTTTTTTTTTAAAGCTCTGGAATTCATTACCCACAAACCTTTCATCAGAACATGATTTCTAACCTGCAGTTGTTACAGGAGCCTTCCTCTACTCTCTATCCTTCTCCAATTCATCTCCCCTACTGCTGCTACAATCATCCTGAACAGAGCAACCTCCTCAGTCCTCCCCTGCTCAAAACCTGCAGGTAATATCCAGACTCCTCAGCCAGGCACTCAAGACCTTTATCAGTTCTCAGTTTCAACCACACCTCCTACTAAGCACACACGACTCAATGGTTCTCATCCAGGTATAGTACTTCTCCACTAGGAGGTGTTCAAAACTGTTTGGGGACATTTTTACTTGTCTCAGTGACTTGTGGGTACAAAGGACCTTTCACAGGCAGGGACTGAGGATCCTAAATGTTCAGCAACATAGATTAAATTGCCTTGTCAAATAGCACCTTCGATGAGACTTGTTGTTCCCAAGCACATTATTTTTAGACATGTGTGGTTCCTTCTTTCTAGAATCTATTAGTCTGCCTCCTTCCAAAATAATATTGTCCTTGGATGATTCCATTCATTTAAAGTTGTTTTTCTTATCTAAAGACCTTGGTTGATTTCATAACTACGTATACAGTAGTAATGGGAGATAATTATTCCCATAACACACTGCTTGCCTGACATAGCTTAGTGTACTGAATTACGGTTAAACTTCTTACCCATTTGTCATTTCACTCCATGTCATTTTCTTCCTTATCCCCTATGCCCTAACATTTAAGCTCCTTAAAGAAAGGGATGTTTCTGTGGCAGCTCACTTTTTTTAACTCCAATTTCTACTGTTTACCTAAAAGTTGAGAATCATTCTATAAGTGATTTTTGGATTAAAAGATAAAAATCATTCCTGCATGCCTATGTACAGAATGCCATTCCTTAATAACTTTTGTGTAGTTGTTAAACTTAGAATTCAGAATACTCAAAGGTAAACTAAATATTTTAGTTACATCTTTTATCAGTAATGGTGTTTTACAGAACCTTAAATGTATTAAATTCTAGATTATACTAAACAAGGGATTATAAACTCAGATTTAAAAAATAAAAAAGGAAAAAGAGGCCATATACACTGTAGTAGAGAGGATATTCCCAAAATAAAGATATTTAAATTCCTCGGGGATTTTTTTGGCGGGGAGTGCTAAGTATGCTTTACAAAGATCTTCTAACAAGCTTGTGTTTGAGATGCTGGTTATGCAAAAAAATACTTAAATAATCTTTTTTAAAAAGTGTGTGCAATATACTTCTAGACAAAAGATAAAAATATTCTTATCCTACCCCACTCAAGTTTAAGCTTAGACTATTTCTGTAGCATATTAAAAATAAACTTTCTATCACTCAAAATTTTAAACTTAGCTCCCCTAAGTTGCATAAACAGTAAATAGTAGACAAAAGTCAACTGCTCACTTGCACATCTGTTCATATCTGGGGCTCGGTGTCCATAGTACCCAGATGGACAGGAATGCAGGCACTCTCCATACTGGCGCATGCCTTCTCTTCGAAGAAAGAAGAACAACTTCTGTTGACATCGGCTGCACCCATTGTCCTTTGAACAAGACAAACAACCCTTGCAAATGGGATTTGATACATAACTAGCTGTAAAAGAAAAACACAAAACACAGGTTCAAATAGGAGTACGATCAAGACGTCCGGTCAATAAAACATGGTGAGAAGACAAGTGTCTCTTGTCCTACTTGAATCACATAGAAATGCTATACAAAATATTCCCCCACCCTCCAAAAAAAAGGTTAATACACAATTAAACTTAGAAACAAAGAGGAAACTCAGAGTTCAAACTGAAACTGAATGGCTCACAGAGTTAGACCAGACAGAGGCAGACCTCATGGCAGGGTCTTGAATCTAGGCCAAGAAATATGCTTATGAAGACCAGACACTTGGGTCTCTTTATGGAGACTGGAGTTGTGAGGGCTGTTTGCACATGCAACAAATACTAGAAGCCCCCACCCCAATTTGCCAGAGATGAAGATTTCAACCACAGATTAGGGGCATAGGGTGGCTGAGAAAGAAAGGGTGGTAGAGAGAAATATAATCCATGAGACACAAAAACCCCAAATCTGCAATACATCCACGCATGAGATCCAAGTTCAAATTATCAGTGTAGTATCAAATCACTAAATCAAGATGCTAACATAAAAACATTGATCCACAAAAACCCATGAAGAAAAAAACATGAAACTACCCTAAAGAAATGTTCTACAATCCTGAGACCAGGAACTTGCATGGAAAGCCACCTTTACACCAAAATGAACCATTCACAGGGATAAGCAAACCTCCATGAGGAAGAGTCACCAGTCTGAGAGAGAGAGATCTCACACCCAAAGAGTCAGAAGTAACAGAACAATCTGAAAGTCTTAAAAATGATTATCTTCAGAATACTTGAAGAGATAAGGACTAGAAATCACAAGGGAAGAAGCAGTATCATCTAATGACTGTGCAGTTACAAAGAAATGAAAATTCTAAAACTGAAAAAAAATTCTATGAACAAATTGAATAGAAGGTATTTAACTAGAAAACAGGTTTAAATAACTATAGCACCAAATAAATAAATAAATAAATAAATAAATAAATAACTATAGCACCAAACACAGTGAAGATGAAAATGTGGGAAAGGTAAGAAGCATGTAAAAAGAAAGTTTTAATACATGATTATTAGGTGCTACAGAATCAAAAAATAGCATGAGTAAGACATATTATCCAGAGATCATGGCTACTCAAGTTCCAGATTTAAAGAAAGAGAAGAATTCTTTAGATGAAAACTTCAGAGATCTGAGTAGATCAATAAAAACAAGTCTGCATCTAAACACAGCAGATTTATCCTAAAGAATAAAGTCAAACGAGAGAGAAACAGATCACCTAGAAAGAAATTTTTACCTCTACCAGACATCTCATCAGAAATAACGTGTTAGACAGTAGAATATTACCTTCAACTTGCTAAGGGAAAATTATCAAACTATAGTTCTATAAGTAATTAAATGATAATTTAAGAATGAGGGCAAAATAAAGGTATTTTCAGCCAAAATAAAGTCAAGGAACTTATTAATCACTCACCAAAAGAATAAACTGCGTATATGGGAGAAAATAAAATGGAACACAGAAGTAGAATGTAATAAGCAATAGTGATCAAATCAATTGAGAAATAGGTTTGTGTGTCTATGAAAAGTATCAGTTTTTAAGAAGTATTCATTTCCAAGGTTTAAAAAATAATACATATTTTATATTTAGGAGCATAACATGGAAGACTCAAGGAGGGAAAACAAAGTTAAAGCATTCAAATTTTCTATATTTTGAGTGAGGAAGAACAATATATATTAAACTTCCTTAAGTTAAATGTACTTGCTAAAACTCTTGGTAGAAACCACAGAAAGAGTAATGTATAACTTCTAAACCACTGACAACCACAGATGTAGTAAATGTATAAAATAGAAATAGGAGGTAACAGGATCTAAAGGTCTATGACCAGGAAAATGGATAAATTATGGTACATTTTAATGATAAAAAGAATTAAACTGGCACATACCTAAACAAGAATGGAATGAAACTTATAGACATTAAAGAAAGAAGCCAGACCCCCCCCCCAAAAAAAGTATGCTCAGTATAATTATTTATATTGATGTCAACGACACGTTAAGGTAATCTGTGGTGACAGAAATTAGAACATTAAATGCCCTTGAGGGTTTGGGACTGACTGCAAAGAGGTACACAGGAATTTTTGGCAGGTCTATTTGTTTCCTAGGGCTCCCTTAACAAATTACCACACTGTGATGGCTTACACACCAGGAATTCATTCTCTCAGTTCTGTGGACTCAAGTCTGAAATCAAGGTGTCCACAGCGCCATGTTTCCTCTGAAGGCCCTAGGGAAGAAATCTTCTCTCCCATTCTGGAGGCCCCAGATGTTCCTTGGCTTGTGGCAATGTATCTCCAATCTGACTCCATCTTCTCTAGATATCTCTCTGTGTATTCTTTCTGTCTCTCAAAGACACGGTCTTTGGATTTAGGGTCCACCTTAATCCAGTAGGATCTCCTACCCATCCTTAATTTTATTTGCAAAACCCCTATTTTCAAATAAGGTCACACTCTGAGGCTCCACGTGGACATGAATGGGAGCAGGCGTTGGGGGTGCAGACCCTAGTTAACCCACTATAGGTGGTGACGGAAATGTTCTAACCTTGACTGGATATTGGATATACAATGTATCTATTTGCAAAACTTACCAAGCTGTGCATTTTTTAAAAGTAATGTGCACAATTTATGAGCAAATTGTATCTGAATTTTTTAAAAAAGAAAAAATGGGTAGGAAGGCCATACACTAACATGAGGATAATGTAATTGTCACTTGTGATTACATTTCTTTTGAAGATTCTTAAAATTATAGTGGATGCTTACCCATATGATATGCTTTACTTTTATGGTTTGTGGGGGTTATTTTTTTAAATTTTATTATGTTATGTTAATCACCATATATTACATCATTAGTTTTTGATGTAGTGTTCCATGATTCATCGTTTGCATATAACACCCAGTGCTCCATTCAGTACATGCCCTCTTTAATACCCACCACCAGGCTAACCCATCCCCCCACCCCCCTCCCCTCTAGAACCCTCAGTTTGTATATACCACATCTTTATCAATTCATCTGTCAGTGGATATCTTGGCTCTTTCTGTAGTTTGGCTATTGTGGACATTGCTGCTATAAACATCAGGATGCAAGTACCCCTTCAGATCCCTACATTTGTATCTTTGGGGTAAATATCCAGTAGTGCAATTGCTGGGTTGTAGGGTAGCTCTATTTTCAACTTTTTGAGGAACCTCCATACTGTTTTCCAGAGTGGCTGCACCAGCTTGCATTCTCACCAACAGTGTAGGAGGTTCCCCTTTCTCCACATCCCCGCCAACATCTGTATTTTCCTGACTTGTTAATTAGTAGGGTTTTTTTTTAATAACAGAAATATCCCATTGGAAGGACAGGTGGGATAATACGAAGTAAATGTTGAAATACCATCTGAAAATTGATATATGGACCTTACAGAGTTTCCTACATCTAATGATAAAGAGTAATTTCAAAGAAAATACCGTTTCCAGCCCTGGAATAAAATTAAAAATGATACAATCTGACATCCCAATATAATTTCTAAAATATGAAAAATTCATGTAACTTTTAATTATATTTATGACTTGTTTGGTATAGTGATAACAAGATATATTAGGTCACACTGACTTCATTTTTTTTTTTTTTAAGATTTTATTTATTTGACAGAGAGAGACAGCGAGAGAGGGAACACAAGCAGGGGGAGAGGGAGAAGCCGGCTTCCCGCAGAGCAGGGAGCCCGATGCGGGGCTCGATCCCAGGACCCTGGGATCATGACCAGAGCCGAAGGCAGATGCTTAACAACTGAGCCACCCAGGTGTCCCCACACTTATTTCATTTTATCAGGCTAACCCACAGAAGAAATCAGAGAAGGAATAGAAAACTCAGCAATTATTGAAACTTTTAGCCTTGAGGCCACATCCTATGTGCCCTACATATTTTTTGCATATAAAATTAGTACCAAGCCTTAAATATTCAGATTGGCAACTATACAACAAAGTATACAGTATACCACAACTTTCCTTATAATGATTCAACAACCGATGTGAGTGGTCTCCTGGCTGCCTTCTGCTCTTCACTTTAACTACAGATTTGAAGAATTATATCAAGGTTATCCAAATCCCCAATTAGCTTTGTAAGTTAAGAGACAATTTGGAAGAGTTAGATACATAGCAGAATGGTTTAAAAAGGCTCTCTGTCAACAAAAACAAAAACTGAAGCTATACTTTTAGTTCCAAAGTTAAACCAAAAGCTCTTTATCACCATAAATCACACTCTATCGTAACAAGTATGGAGAAAAGAGAATTTCAGAACTTAGAGAATCAACATAAGTCAAAGCCTTTTTGTTTTGTTTTTATGTATGAGAAGCTAACTTTCATCTTGACCAGGAATATTTCAGAGTCAACAAATTGTGCTCCACGTTTTTTTTAAAGGTTTTCTTAAAAATCATTAAAAGCTAGACTTTATTTACTTGAGTCTTTACTGGCTTAATGGAAATGAATCAGGGAATACTTATCTTAGTCCATATCGGATATCTTTATAACCCCACAAATGAGGAATTCTCTTAAAGCAAAAGTGATGTAAGCCACATCCAAACTAAGTCATCTTTCCGTGCCCCAATCTTCTCTAGCCATTAATAATGCTCCTCAACACTGAGGGACAAGGGCACATGTATTTTTGCAGTGTGAAGCTTCATGTCCTAAACCTCAAATAGTCTTTTAAGTTTAATTAACCACTGTCCAGTGTCAGCTATTCTAGTGCTCTCTATGTTGTAAATCAATAACTTAATTCAACAAGAACTTCTTCATCCATTATATGATGACTATACCAAGCTCAGTATCTAAAGCCAGGCAAAAATAGACTTTTAAACATGACTATAGTAATTTATTTGGTCAGGATCTTAATAAGTTAAATGTCTCTGCCTATCGCTATGAGATTTAATTCAAGTGTGCAGGTGAATAAACAGATCTTAATTCCCAGCTTTGATGA